CTCTTCGACAGTTTAAAATTCAGTTCGTGAAGTACCAGGGATATCTATGTATAGTACTTCATTGTATTTGTGCATCAGTCACTCTATTGATTTTGAAGATTCAGTTCTTGAAGAATTAGGCAAACTATATTGCTTTATTATATCTGTACACATCTAAGTAAATGCAACTCAGCTTATCATATTCTAGCGACGGGGTTCTTTTGACATTGTAGAATATATTCGTTAGTCCATCATCTGTAGCTTTCATTTCTACAAGCACAATATTAGTAACTATCTAGTGCCTTTTTTAGCCCCGTTCTCTAAAACTCATTTATCACCAAACTCATTTCCAACCACACAATCTCCCAATAAAATAATCTTGCTCGTAAGCCCAAAACTTTTTCATTCTTTTTAGCCACATATTCTCCAAAAACATCACTATTACAAAATCTATTCTCCCAAATAATGGGGCTCAAATAGAGCCTTAATATGCATAAGAAAGAAATAAATTTGCCTTGTACACTTTGGAGATCATATAATTATCCCCAAGGGGTACTGGAAGAAAAATAAGATAAAGTCTATTGATATGTCTAAGACTTTCTCAATATTTTCACCAGGCGCAGTAGTCAAACCATGTTTAGCACTCGCTGCTGTTTTATATCTGATCCTTTTCTCAGATGGGTTGCAACATTTTTCCGAGGTCATTCTCATTGTGTTTGATGGAAGCAATTATGCCAAATACTCTCTATTTTAGTTCCAGCAGCTTGCAAAGTGATTAGCAGTTGACATTAACTTAATGAAATACTTTGTTTTCTTTGGTTACAGTTGTGATAGGATCATATAGACACCACCTCCTGAAAAATGCACCATACCATATTATTTCTGAATCCATAATAAAAGTACAGATACAGGTTAAAGAAGAATAAAGCGAGAGGCCATGACAAGTGTTGCCCAATTTAAAATTTTATATATGCTTGGACTTGTATCTTTTTATATGCTAGTTTCTGCTGAAATTGTCATGAAGTATTAGTCTTGTTACAAGTTACCCAGTTAGTTCTGAATTATGTTTTCTTTTGCTTGAGGCTTTGTATGTTAGTGCAATGTTAGATTCATTATGAAATCTTATAGGAAAATCAATTTTGGTTAACTGCTACAGATCGATGGTGTCGTGTTTTGCTTTGTGTAGGGAACATGGTCTGGTTCATCACATTCTCAGTCAGCTGTGGAGAAAGCCATCACTTCACATGCAAAATGCGAAGATTGGGAAATAGATTGGAGATCATTGAAGATAGGGGAAAAAATTGCTGCTGGGTCATGCGGAGATTTGTATGTTCATAACTATGCTATAAGTGCTACTATATATTGGTTAATTCTGTTTCTTAGTGACATTGCTTGCATATTACTCTTGTTTATGAAAGGTATCGTGGAGTATATCTTGGTCAGAATGTTGCTGTTAAGATGCTTAGACCTGAGCATTTGAATGACCCTCTGGAGGATGAGTTTGCAAAGGAAGTTGCTATTTTAAGGTGAATAGAGTTGCTGCCTGCATGCTATTTACATTTAAATTGGTAACTGCCATTTTATTACTGATCAATCTTGCTACAGAGCTGCTATATTAATTACAAGCTAAATAATGACTAAGCCAAAAGGGACCCAAGAGAGCAAAGAAATCTGTTACTTTAGTGAGTGATACATCTAAATAGCTACTGTTTGATAATATTATTGTATCGTTATCAGTGGGCATGGCCCAGCCATGGAAGGCTTCTTAGAGGTCTATTGCATCGACTAAGATACTAAATGAACTTGTTAGCATAGGCTTGGCTCTTCTTCCGACTTCCATTTTTTTCCCCTGTTTTCCAATGTTGTATTGCCCTTAGCCAGTCATAGTCGTATCTGACAAGAAAGCATTGATTCTTAAGCTTAACATTTAGGATCTCTTCGAGAGTAGTTATAAGAAACTGCTATGATCTGTCGATGATGCATATGTTTTGCACTTAATTTGTAACTCAACCAAATTTTGATGGCCAATTGCATATCAGTCAATGACCAAAGTTGCTTTCAGTGGCAGTTTAAACTAGAATTCTGAACAAGCATGAGTAGCATGTGAAGAATATATATTTTCAAGTTGGAAGCGGCTAGGGAGTTAGGTTTTGGTATGTTTTAGATAGGCCCCCGATTTCTTTCAGATGTGTGGTCAAGGGAAGGTCATTTCAAAGAAGGTTTTCCAGCTTCATTTAGAGTACCACTAATTAGGAAAATTTGCCGAGTCAATTAGTCAGCAGAAGGCACCCCAACATTGTGTGAATACATATCTTTAGAAATATATATTTTCAAGTTGGAAGCGGCTAGGGAGTTAGGTTTTGGTATGTTTTAGATAGGCCCCCGATTTCTTTCAGATGTGTGGTCAAGGGAAGGTCATTTCAAAGAAGGTTTTCCAGCTTCATTTAGAGTACCACTAATTAGGAAAATTTGCCGAGTCAATTAGTCAGCAGAAGGCACCCCAACATTGTGTGAATACATATCTTTAGAAAAAATTCACAAGGTTGGGAAGTTCAAATTTTGCCAAACATTCTTGGTTGTTTTGAGGTCAAACTGAGCTTTATAATTTGGATTTAATTAGGTTGAATCAAACTGGGAATTAATTATTCTAAGCTGTCTTATCATTTTGCACTTAACGAGGACAATGAAAGCAATTTCCTTTGGAAGAAAAACTGGAAAACCAAAGCCCGAGCCATTGAGTGGCTTTTTATAATTGGGAGACACCCACTGAGCATATTTTGACAGGTACAAAGGTAGCATGCGATATTCATGTGAATTGTTGTATCTTTCTTTAGAAAATGCTGACAAGATCAAGAACCACGTTTTGTGTCATTGTGAAACTGCCAGCATTCTTTGATCTTATGGCTGATGATGTGTGGCTTATCATGGATTATGCCTTGTTCAGTTAAAGATCTAGTTTTGAGTTGGAGTTTGTACAGGAGGAGAGAAGGACATTTGGGACAGGACACCTCTTGGTGGAGGTATAGAGAGATGAATGGGTGAATTTATGAAGGCAAACAGAACACAATACTAGAGTTGACAAATTTTTGTGAATGCACTTTTCTTAAGGAATTTCAGAAATATCCTGAGAGTAGGCATAGCTTTATCTGCTTAATTTATTTGAGAGGAGTCAATTGCTTATAGCTGTTGAAGTTCTCTCTAAATGGACATCACCACCTTGGTGCAAATACAACGGATCTATTTGTAAAACATGTTTCTGATTTCCAAGAATAGTCATTTTTAGGTGTCTTTACATGTTTAAATTGTCTACGTTTTAGATCATATCATTTTTAATCTTAAAGTTCAGTATGATGGTTTATCAATGCAGGGAAGTACAACATGGAAATGTTGTTCGCTTCATTGGTGCATGCACAAAGTTGCCTCATTTATGTATAGTGACAGGTAGAGCATTTTCAACTTCGTCAATGCATGATGCTCGATCTAGTTAGCTTCTTTTGTTCATTATGTTCCTTCTTTGACTGTTTCTCTATAACTTTCATGCAAGTGAAAAGATGCCTAGAGAAGTCTTAACTCTCAGATTCAATTTGCTATCCCCCATCCCTATCCCAAACGAAGAGTTATTTACTTATGGTCTAGCACTTTAACATTCTCACGAACTACTTGTGTTTGCATTGTCTTATCCTCGCTGAATTTGTGCATTACAGTTTCTTAGTATTGCCATTGTATTAATATCTATGTTTCATCTTAAAGCAAAATGGTTCTGGAGATTCTATTGGTTCTTGATTTCTGGTAGTAAAAATAGTACATATCTGTAGCACTTGTAGAATTTACTCATCTAACTGCTATTATTACGTGTAGAGTACATGCCTAGAGGGAGCCTCTACGAATATTTGCACAAGAATCATGCCATCTTGAAGCTCTCACAGTTGCTGAAGTTTGCAATTGATGTGTGCAAAGGCATGGAGTACCTGCACCAAAAGAACATCATTCACAGAGATTTAAAGACCGCAAATTTGCTTATGGATGCTCACAGTGTAAGTTCATAGTGATATAAGAGCTGGGACCTATAGTCTATATTGCCTATTGATGTTAGGACAAAAGAAATTTTCGATGACTTCACTTCTCTTTTTTAATTGTTGGAGTATGATTGTTAGGCCAAAAGAAGGTATCCACGACTTCATTTTTCACTGCATATGGTGGTTGTGTGGCTTATCGTTGTACATCATGAAATTAAACCCTGGATCTGGAATTGTACATGATGCATTGGAAATACAGCTTGATTTCAATTGACCAATGAATTTTTGAAAAACTATGGTATATGTTCTTGTGAGGATGACTATGTAAGATGTTTAGTCATTTCATTACTCTGTTCTGGTAGACGTATATAAGTTCATCCGCAACTATTACTAGTAAATTAATTCCTTATTTGACTTTTATGTCAAATATCAATCAAAGCTCTCTTCTCTAATAAAGTGCACAAAAATGATCATTAGCTTACACAGGAAATATAAGTAGTGAGATTTGTACTCAAAATGTGAAGACGAGAAAATAGGCCTGCTCTGTTGAGCTTGCAGATTTGTTGAACATGCTGGCCATTAAAATGCATGCACATATCCCCATGTGCTCTATTATATTTGATGCAAATATTTTATAATTCAAACAAGTGAAAGAAAGTAAGACCTCAAGGTCCACTTAACAAATATCAATATGCTCAAATCTTTGTCAATTGCATGAAGTATTTAAAATATCTACTTTGTATCTAGAAAATCGGTTGTTAAGTTTCTAATACATACTGCTTGTATAATATGTTTGTTTAAAATAGTTTCTTTTTAATTATTTTTTCTTAATCAACATTTGTTTAATCCTACTTTTGTGTTTAATAAGGTCCATTTTAACTACTTCACTTGTTTAGAGTTCGTTGTAACTCAATGTAACTGTAATCATATTCTTGAATATACTTGTAGGTGGTTAAAGTGGCAGATTTTGGTGTGGCTCGATTCCAGAATGATGGTGGGGTTATGACTGCAGAGACAGGAACATATAGATGGATGGCACCTGAGGTTTGACTTTGATCAGCTATTGAAAATATTCGAGCCTTTTATGTCATATGGTCTGTCCTGGATATGGTGGCATTTGCATACACTTCAACATCCCAAGTTAGCTCTCCCATCACATTCCAAAATAGTTCGTTGACATAGGAATCATTATGAAGATGATGTTTAATTAATGGATTATAAAAATGTTTGGACGTGAAAAGGGTCAAATCGTTTATGTTTTGATGATCATGGAAGTTGAGTAATAAATTATTTTACATTGAGATAGATGATTGCTAGAAAGTGCGAACACTCTTGAGAAGCTTTTATGTCGATGTTGTAATCGGGCATTTACCCTTCTTGACACTCTTGTATGGGTTTGAACTCTATTGAACATTTCCGAAAATGGAATAGAGAAGTCATAATTTTAGATGTGTAAGACACTTTTTGACATTCTCATGTAAGTGACTGAACATTGGTATTGATAATCAAATGACACACATTCATATTCCTGAGTCCTGGTTTTATTCTGTTGGCCCAATGCACTATGCAACCTTATCTATGGTTCGTTTCTAAATTTACGGTTTTGTGGTTTGGAAGCATTTATTGCTAGTATAACGATAATGGCATTCCAAAAGGACTTAATAATTAATTTTGTTATTTACTTAATTATATCTCTTTTGTCTTTTGCAATTTCTTTGCTACAGGTGATAAATCATGAACCATATGATCAAAAAGCAGATGTGTTCAGTTTTGCTATAGTTCTTTGGGAGCTTCTGACCGCGAAGGTGTTTCTTAGATTTATATCTTGTAATAAATGGTAATTAAGGCTTTGAGAGTGAGAAAGGTCACGTTGTTTTTATAACAAACTTTTCATCTTTTGTTGGGGCTGCAGGTTCCTTACCATACTATGACACCTATACAGGCTGCACTGGGAGTCAGGCAGGTTTGTGACCTGCTTTTCACAAAAAAATATTCTGTCCATGATGGCTGTCATTTGACATAACTATTCTAACTGAGTGAAGTACCACGTCCCAAATTTCTATGCTTATGTTTTTGATATGATGCAATTTAAGTGAAAGGGTGTCCCACTGCTAAAAATATCCTAGAACTGTGTAAGCCATGTATTAGCCTTGTGGAGGCATCAAAGTAAAGGAAATCAAAGGTGGTTTTCATGATCTGAAATAAACATTCAGTATACAAAAGCTTGCGTTCCATTATTGATCAATAGTATATTCTGATAAGAACTGGAGACCCTCTGAGTCTGAGTTGCTGAGTACTGTTGTAATGCCAGTTCAATGTGTGGTGATATTTAGTGCTTGTTTGGTAAAGCTTTTGTTTGCTAGAAAGCTGGTCAAACTTTATTTTTAACCACACATTTCAACTTTTATCCACCTTTTCACCGCAGATTTTGTTAGACCCACCAGCTTTTATCAACTTTAGCAACATCACACAGCTCCTTATTCTTTGGAGTAGACCTTAGAGCAATCAGATTGCCATTAGTTAGCTAAAAGATATACGAGAAATCAACAGCAGGCAAAAGTTGATACATTTATGTTCATATAGCTATGTTTTTTGATTCACATATAATATTAAGTGAAAGTAATTCGTGCAATCCTAAGTGAAAATGCCTCTTAATATCGTATATATGAATTCCACTGTGACGTGATTTTCTCTAATATTGTACTGTTGATTGAACAGTCATATAATTGCGAAGAAATCTTGCAGGCCAATGCATAATGATACGTGGTTTCATAGTGAAACATTTTATGAAATAGTGATTTGCTCGTTTTTGTTCCTGACAATTTGCTGATTAAGAAATGGGTAAATACAGATATACAATGTCGTCATTCTGAAACGGTTACTAGCAAAGTTAAATAGCAAGTATTTAGAGCATAATGCTATCTTCTACCGTTGAAGTAAATTTATACATCTTTTACTTGTTTATTTTTGGTGTTTCTTTTCCTGTCTCTGTTATTTTCTCTTAGTTTTTATTTAAGAACCGCCGGGAAAGATCAACAGAGTTGGAAAAGCAGCAAATAGGAAATCAGATTGAACATATGATTAAGTTATGCTTGATATATATTCAGCAGTTACATTTATTGACAAGCTTCTTGATTTGTACGTGCGTCATTTGCTAGGGTCTTCGACCAGAACTTCCCAAAAATGGTCATCCAAAGCTTTTAGATTTGATGCAGAGATGTTGGGAAGCACTTCCTGATAATCGTCCAACCTTCACGGAAATTAAAGTTGAACTCGAGGAACTCCTACAGGAAATTCAGGTAAACCTTAAATATTACAGTTTAATTGATTGTTGCAATTTGGTCATTCCTTCTGTGCCCATTGGTATAAATGGAGTTATCAAATAGTAATTAAAGTTCACTAATCAACATGAAATTTTGTAAAACGTTTAGTGACCACTACTGGATTTACAATAAAGCTCCAAGTACATCGAAATTTTAATAGAATTGATATCGACGCTGACATGGCCAAACTTGATTGGCCTTTTTTTTCACCATCTTCCAATGGTGCCACGCCAAGTGTTATCTGTTAAAAAAATATGTACTTGTAGCATGATTGGTGCATTCAACCCTATGTGAACTTATATGTGCTGCCCCATCTATATACAGATACAGATACAGATACTTGGTGTTTAAATTTTTACAAATTTCAGCTGCAACTCATTTGTATTCTTTTCACAGGATACTCCGGTCGCGCCTAATGGCTTCTGAGTATATATTGAATAATCGACATTTTACTCACGTTTCGGCATATTTTGATAGTAACTAGTCAGAGCTTTTATTCGTCATCATATTAGGCGGTGCAATACTCAAAAGGGAGACAGTATGTTTGTTTCGTGGTACCAAAGTTTTGTTCTTTTTTCATGAGGAAGTTAGCAACACCAACTTATACCTGTACATGAATGCATTATGAATCAAAGAGGTGTTTAAAAATAAAAATAAAAATAAAAAATAAAAAATATTACTTGTGTCTTTAAGAACATGATCATTATGTTAGACTCAACAATATTGACAGGACGATGGGAAAATAATTTATATGCACATTAAAATATCAACTACTGTATATAGGGGATGCCCTTAATAGATAGTACTCGACAATTAAAAAAGATCTCGCTTTGTTACTAGTAAGTTCAATTAAGATAAAAATATCAAGGGGATATTTCTCTTAATGAGATTAATTTTTTGAAATATAACTCAAATGTTAATAGTTAACTACTAAATTGGTGGCAAATTCCTCCAAAATATGTGTATTATTATTCTTTTATTGTTATAATCTACGAATATGTAAAAATTGTCTCGTCGGGTTTATTGGCAATATAATATACAATATTTCATTTGTATCGAGAGGATCTTCGTTATCTCTCATACTTGATTTAACTTAACACATGGTGGATGCATATATGAGTTTCCTGTTCCTGCATCCCTTCCCAATGCCTGGGCAATCAAAACAAATATTATGAATTTCCAGATTATCATCCATTAATTGATAAAATCTTTTCTCGTCACATTTTGCCTTCGGAAAACATGGAATAGAAAATGAGAAATTAATTGTACAAATTTATTATATATGGAGGATAAATCTTTCAAGCATTTGGGTGATATGAAACATTGTAATGGATGATGAAAGATAATGATTGGTTACAAAATTAAGTACACAACCTATTATAATATGCTATGTCATTAGTGTTTAGGAGTTCATTTTCATATATATTTATATATTATCTTTCATAAAATATATATTCTTTTTTCCAAAAACCAATCAATTTTATTAATTTACTATGATAAATATCAATTTCGTTGACCGCTATATAATAAGTATATTAATGTTGTATTATTATTCACAAATGATATTACGATATTATATTCAACCGTCGGTTAATGCCACGAACTATCATCGAACTGTTCAGGAACGATCACCGTTGACCTTCGACTGTCGGCCAAAGATGTTTAAATAAACAAACAAATTGAAAGTGCAAATTGGAGTGAGATGCATTAGTTCACATAACATTGCATTAAAATGTAAATTTTTACTTCATTTCCAACAATGGAAGACGTCTCAGAATGACAATAATCACACAACGAACCTTCACCTCTACCTGCTACTACATTGAGAGATTCTAGTGCAGCCTCCCACAAAAAGGGAGCTATATTATGTTTTACAACTTACAATAATTATTTAACTATCCATCCCTGTAACATAAGACACGATTTGCATCACGCGACATACAGTGCTTCGTCCATCTCTAGTCCATCATACAGAGCACACATTCACCGCCTCCCACGAGGTGCAGGGGCAGACCTAGGACCTGGGTGCTTAGAGAATTGTAGTCGCAAGTGAGTAGAATCTGGATCGTGTTCATCCATCTTATAACCTGTGTATTAAGCGAAGATTTTTTAGTTAACGAAGTTCTACAGAACATTCGAGTGGTCGATGGTTAATGGATTATTGATTCAAATTAGCAATAATGATCATTGTTTCTTTGCACTAGAGCTCCTCCAAATTCGATGATTAATCAAATTTGACGACTAAAGCAAGAAGTTGCAGCTTGCAGGATTAAAAAGATCTTAAGAGCAGTAAATATTCAGGCATCTTAACCAAAGAGAGAAGCATAAATAGAATTAATACAAACAAGTGAATAAGAGGAAAGCTATCACCTTGCAAAGCACTTAAAGCAGTTGCTGCACATGCGGGGTCTATGAAATCCACAAAACAAAGTACAAGAGGATCTCCACCACGCTGCAAAGAAAATCCTCATCAATTTGGGCATAAGTAGGTCAAGAAGATGGTAGCTAGGTGAATAAAAGTAGTGCTAAGTAGTAGTCTTAATTTTTAAATTTGGCGAAGCAGAATCTGTAGTTATTAAAATCAACTTACATGCTTCGATTCCTTTCTTACAAGTCTTACTTCTCTGCACCCTACAAAGGGACGAAAAATGTCTAGAGAAGATGTTAAAGAAGACAAAAAGGTTCCAAGGGGATACCAAACTAGTAGAAGAGGGTAAAAATTGAAAAAAAAAAGAAAAAAAAAAAAAAAAAAAAAAGAATATGTCTATTTGTTATAGCATCTCAAAGGATACGAGCCACTTCCCTTCTGGTGCTGTTAGGAGGAAGCCCCTCAATGTACAGCGTGCTGGAAGCATCTGGAGGTAGAGGGAGGGTTTCCCGAGGTCTGACAATTGTATCTACTGGAAGTGGACCACCAAATCCCAAGCCACTTCCATTTGGTGTTGGTTTTGGACCACCACCACCAGGCCGCCCCGTTACAATGCGATCATGTACTGGAAGAGCAGGTCCACCACCACCACCAGATCTTCCTAACCCTATTCCACCGTAGTGAGTACTTTCTTCAGAAGGTAATTGCTGGAAGAGAAACAGGATTTACTTATTAGCACCTTGAAAGCCAAAGCTGTGCAAAGCAAGGAGGTACTAGGATTACCAAATTCTGAAGATAATGATCATATGCTGAACCAATTGATTCTGTATCCTTCACTACTGGGGACCCACTATAATCATCATTCTGAGCCAGCAGATTATAATGCATTTCATGACCCACAGGCACCCTAGATGGCGGAAGATCTACGTTGTTTAACAAAAAGGGTTTGAGTAATATTATATAAAATTGACAATGAACTCAATGCAATCATCTTTTTTGGGTTAAGTAAAAATCTTCCAGTACACATTGTAGCCCCATTTCCAAGTATGCCTACCGGAAAAGCATTTTCTATACAAATCAAATGCAAAAAAATTTGCACAAAGTTTAGATTACTGCACTACATCTCAACAAGTTAAGAAGGGGTATCTAACTGATAAATCAACAAACTCTTCTTTAACTAAAATTGGTAATATTAAAGTGATAAGTGATAAAAATCGAAATATCAAGTTAAGAGTTATCAGAGAAGTCTTAAATGGAAAAGCGATCCCCATAAAGACACAGATGGAAAAACAAAATTGTAAAGGAGAATAAGATACAATCAAAATTCTAGAAGGACTACAAGGGGTTGAGATGCATTTAAAATCATAAGGTATCAACTTCAATGACAGATAAAATGAAAAATAGGGATATAGAGAACCAGTTTAGGATCAGCCATCAACCTACATTACTACACAATAATAGGCCTTTGATAGTAAACAAAAGAATTCAATGGCGATCGGAATGATGATTAGAACAAATTTCCATTTCCAAAATCTCATTTAGATCCCCAAGACTGTCCTCAAAACTATTATTGTGTATTTAAGGTGTCTCATCGTGACTCCAAACAAGTCCCCAAAGCTCCAAAATTAGAAAATGACAGAAATATCGAGCATGAGTCCATTTCCCTAGCATGTATTCGAGAATGTCTTAGTATACACATGAAAACTCCATCAAGATGAGTGTCCCTGTGCTTCCTTGCTTATAACTAAAGTATTCATAATTGAATTTTAGAGACAATTTTGTATGAGCAGAATAAGTCCCAGCAAGGGTCTACGCTTCTCAAATCAAAGACTGCAATGTTCTTTCTCACCCAAAAGAATGGTTGAGAGACTCAATTTAGAACAGAAGATGTTAAGTTCTATAACACCACAAAAGAACAAAGTACACTATGGAAATATGAAGTTTTTTCCCCTCAAGACCATTCAAGTTGCATCTTCAAATAATCCTACAAAGAAAGCAAAAGGTAATGTTCATTTTCGTGACGGTAGATTCTGCATTTTCAACATATTCCTTACAATTTTGAGTTGCTTTTACTTCTATGGCTCTCCAATGAAAGAAAAGCACAATGGAGGGTTGTAGCATAAGATGAATCAACGATTTACTTACCAGGAAAGCATAAAAAGTGAACTATTGTCTTATGGAGAATAATAGTACACTGAGTACTATGATTTGCAGTTAAAGCCAAAAGACAGCGTTGAGATGGCCAGCACCAAATTTAAGGAGACGGAAAAATAGACAGTATATAGAATAATGTTAAAAAATCATAATTTCTCTAGAACTTTCTCCAACAAATTGATCAAGCATTATCTAGAAACAAGTATGACATAATGATACATTTTTATATATTAAGGATTAAAACAAGACATGCAATTATTTTAGAAAAACTATCAAGACATGTGAGATGTTCGCAAGAGAGTTATTAAAGAACTTCATGTTCGCATCCCAGCAGAGAGTCATACCCACTTGGTTATCAAGAGAAGAAAAATTGAATCAAGTTTAACAGAAAACTAGTCGACAAAAAAAATTGAATTACTGATAACCTTAGCTTCACATATTTGCAGACCACTATATAAAATCATCAATGACAGTAAAGTATCTAACTGATATTTTGGGGCACACAGCTTCTTAAAAAATATAATTTAGGACCCATTCCTTGGCCACAAATTGATTTTCAAGAATTTCAAATTCCCACGACTCATGGTTTAATTTCATAATAATTGAATTTATACTTGGACAAAAAAATATATTGAACCTGATTGCTTTTTCAATCATTAGAACTGATCTTAAAAATGAAAATACATATTTTATGCTTACATCCATCCGCCTGATAGTTTCATACATATTAAGAACAAAGTGCAACCATATGTCCTTCCTTTATAACACCTTGGAAAGAGATTATTCACACCTATTTTTTCTTGAATTCCCATCAAATGAACAGGCCATCAATATAAGATATCACTTTTCATCAAAATCCCTGTAAATAGAGCACTAAGCCCAAAATTTCAACAGAATTCCACAAATGTCACCAGCGAAAATTTGCCTGAGAAGTAAAGATTCTTTTCTGACATTCAATTATTCCTACTAGACTGCTATTCTCTGAGCAGGGAATTTGAATAAACCTTTTGGACAGTGGATTTTGGGATTCAGTTATGATTGATATGTTAAAAAGAGCAAGGCAATTTGAGAACAATGGATAAATAAATTTTCATAGTATAAGAAGATAGCAATATTATCTTCCGAAACAAACCAAGCTTCATATTGCTTTTAAATTCACCAAATTGAGAAAGATATTGGAAAATAAAAAATTGCTTTCATATTTGTCCTTTGAAACTGTTTTTCAGATAATTAAATACTAAAAAATAGAATAAAAGAACCGAACCAGCAGAATGAGCAAGGCAATTTGAGAACAATGGATAAATAAATTTTCATAGAATAAGAAGATAGCAATATTATCTTCCGAAACAAACCAAGCTTCATATTGCTTTTAAATTCACCAAATTGAGAAAGATATTGGAAAATAAAGAATTGCTTTCATATTTGTCCTTTGAAACTGTTTTTCAGATAATTAAATACTAAAAAATAGAATAAAAGAACCGAACCAGCAGAAAGCCAGAAAGATCATAACAGCTCAAGTTTCAGGTTTTTATTTTCCCACTTGAAGTTTCTTGATTTTCTGGTCAATATTAATATGACATTCTGAAACACATGATGTTCTCGATAAGTACAGCTCTAAAGGAACAACACGAAATTTTTGACAGCAATATACAAGTAGCTAATCAGAAGAACATCATTGACAGTCAAAGCATTAATACACTTGGTTCTGTCCTGAGTATCCACAAAGAGAAATAAAAAGATATTCAAATGTAATTAAATTAAACCAAAAATGTAAGAAACACCTACCAAGCTTCAGTATGTAAAAATCAGTACCACTTATAAATTTCTATATAAATTTTAAAACCCAAGTAAAAGCTCATAAATAACATCAAAATAGTAAAACATCAATTTCACAGTTGCTCCTACTTTCACAAACTTAAAATTCAAAATAATGTAAGATTTTTAATTCAATTCAGGAGTTGATTAATTGATTACCATATTCTATGCGAGGTCGTTTCAGCGCACCCGCAGATTGTTGCAGAGGAACTTGCCGATTATTCCAGTAGTCGTCCTCCATTTCCTCTAAAAATCACGGAAAAAAATTGAAGGAAAACAATTTCAATCATGCAAAAACTTATGCAGTATAAATAACCTGGAGGAGTACAAGAGTTTTTGTGTAGAAACCCTAGATCCGGTGCTCCAAGTGCGGTGTCCCCGGGAATTTGGGGAAGATTTTGATTCTATTTTCTTGATCTGCTGTGTTAAAGGCGTACACTATTTTGGTGAGGATGCGTCCAGTAAATACTTGAATATATTATTTTCTCGCGATTAATTATCAATTCAATCATTAGCATTTTATAAGTGATTGTTATACATCTTTAATTAGTTTAAAAGGTTACTGAACTTTATAATTTCCTTGAATTGATAATTACATTAGTATACATTACACAAGATCTCATGAGATATGTCACGTGACATTTAACTAAGCAAAAATAAAGCAAGAGATCGAATAAAGTCCATGCTCCACCTTACCTCATCTCGCTCCCCTACGTCTTTTCCAAAGTTATTGGGCAATTGAACGAGGTGGTTGAATATCTAGGGATGACAACATGGCGGATCAAGGTGGGGTTATGACGACGCAAGTCCCTTGTCCTATTTATTTTTATTATTATTTGTAGAATCGGCCCTCACAATACTAAATGTGCCTTCATTTGGCGTGTGTCTAAATTGTACCAAATAGGATATTTGTTATGATATTAGAATTGTTAGTTTGATATTGGTCTAATCCCGGAGTACAGCATTGGACTACGGTAAATTATATATTCAAGTATACTTGGAGAATGAGAGATTATAATGGGGATATAGCAAATGCTAAAGAACCAATAAACCATCAATGTGAAAAATATTTAGAGCGAAAGTACCACTCTATCAACGAGATTGTGTAGCGAGGGGATGTGAGAACGGGCAAGATTGCATCTGCTAAAAACATCGCTGACCCATTCACCAAGAGCCTATTGATTAAGAATTTCAAAATTCATGACAAATAGGAGGATTATTGGGATATATGACCAAATGTATTTAGTCGATATTATGTTTTGAACAAATAAATAATATTTTTTGTTATTTGAATATTTTTATATAAAAATTTAATATTTGAGCAAATAATAAAATGACACTGATAACTGATATTAATATAACTTGAGTATTTAAGTTGTTGTGTATATATAGATTTATTTTATAAAGTGATAAAAAATAATTGACATAAATTAGGACACTTTGTTTTGATATGGTCGTATTATATTTATTAAAATTTATCTAGAATTTAATAATAAAGATAATAGTAATCTATATTATTGGAAATACTTATCATACATAATTAAATGTTATTGACAGTCATAAAGTTGTCTAAATCCTTAATGAATTACGGACGTTAACTATTAATTCTAATTTTTTAAGGTTGCAAAGAGCTAGATTAATTATACAATCAATATCTCGTTACTTTGGAAATTAGAATGAACTAATTAATAAATATGTTTTATTAATATGAAATCTTACTTATTTTATAGGAGCATCATCGACACAAGTATTTTTTTAACGAGCAATTTAATATGAGCTTAGTAGTTTAACGATGAGATTGTTAAAATCATAATTGTGAAGCAATTACAATAAGTTGCAAAAGTGCATAATGGAACTAGTGATATTAATTATGAATAATTAAAATTGACTAATTGATCAAAAGAGACACTTATAATTATTTTAACGATTAACGAGAGCTCGATTATTGAAAAGTTTCGATAATTTTAATTAATTTAATATTACAGTTTCAATCATTACTCGTTAGTGAATAAAGTCAAGACTAATTAATTATTCTTGAATAATCCAGAGTTGACCGATACAAGAGTTAATTAATTGAAACTTGAATCAATTGTCTCCGATCAGGTCCTTTCGATGGCTTGAAAATAAGATCTGATTTATAAGAGCTACTCACTCCGTCACATTTATATAAACTGACTTTTTTATTTTTTTTTTATTTTTTTTTGTCTCAATTATATAGTCATATTTCTTTATTGAAAATATTTTATTTTATTCGTTTATTGATATATCATTGTTTAGCCTGAATAGTTGTAACCAATTTTCCTTACTTAAATACGAGTAAATTAGAAAAAATTTGGGTAAAAATTGTTTTTTCAACAACATTAAATAAGATTACTTAATTCATGTGAAAAAAAAAAAATCATCTTATATAAATGGAACGGAGGGAGTATAATTTAATGAGGACTACTTCACTAAATATCTAGAAATTAATATGGACAGATTCCATGATATTGCAATTACTAAAAGTATTGCGGACATTCATAAAGTCTAGATACGTTCCATAATCTTTTAAAAAATCAAAATATTGTGATAAAAGAAAAATTGTGAAGAATGAAAAAAGAACATTTTCTTTGCTAAATCAGTTTATTTTTATTAAATATTTTCTATTATAATGACGCGATTCCTACACGTTATTAACTGTTGAAAATTATTCACACTAGAAAAATATAAGAAAATGTGTAGCATTCTCAAGTTCTTGAAGAACATCGAACAAGACTTGGAGGTGCGAGGCTGCGTTAATTGCAAGAGGTTCAGAGCAAGTACCAAGAATAATGTAGTAAATATTTATGTGTTTAATTAGATTAAATATATATTATAGAATTCCAATTGCTACCCATTGAATCGATCCGAATTTGATTCTTTAGTTTCCCATATTAATATATTATTGTGATGCTTTTGAATCTAAATGCCAAACACAGGGAACAAATTAGATGTAAAAACCAGAAATCTGTACAATGAGACTTAGAAGAGACGGTCTATATGTGTAATCGTAGGGATCTGTAAAGGAAAGTGATTCTTAGTAAGATATAGAGGCTAGCCTTCGGCTATTTTGATCGAGGTGTGATTTATACTTTCAATCAAGTTGTTCGTCTTGTGAAAAACGATGATTAGAGGCAGATTTCTTTTGATTCTTGATCGGTTTCTATGTAAACTTTGTAATAGCCTTTGATTGATTGGTTATTAGTGCATCCAATTAAAGGGAGCTTTAATCCACTCGGGAGCTCTTTTAGAGAAGTAGCCAGAGATTGGATGAACCATGGACCTTAACGCGAATAATTGATATATAATTTTGAAATAAAAATATATTATAATTTGTTATTTATACGAGAGGATACCTTTTCAAATCATTGCCTTCAAAACAATAGGAAGGAAGAAAGAAAACACAAAGCAATGCAAAGGAAATACCAGTTTAATCCAACTTATATATATTTTAAGGTAAATGATATATTCGCCATACATGATAAATTAGAAATAGGACAACTTAATGCCATAATGCAATTTACAAAGAAAGAAACAATACTATATAGCTCATTGAAGCCTTGCCTTATAGCTTTTTTCCTCAACTCGAATCATATAATTTTCTTGTTCCGATTGAACTGGAATTGGCTAAAGATTGGAGACATATAGCCCCGTTTGGCCCCCCCATTTTGTGAAAATGAAAATGGGTGGAATAATATTTTTTTTAAAAATGAGTGGTTGAAGAAAAAGAAAAAAGTTTTCAATTTACGTGTACTATTATTTTATGAAAAATTGTGTTGTTGAAAATAGAAGAAAGAAAAATGAAATGTAATGAAATGAAAGTTAATGAGGGCCAAAGGAGGGCATAATTTCTTGAATGCAAGCTTCAAGCAAGGGTTTCATCAATCCTTCGAGAGAGATCTTTGAAAAAGAAAGATAAGTAAACCATTCGATCCCTTGCAAGCACGGAATTTAGGCAAGTTCAAATACTCGAGATGAGCTCCTTAGCGTTTACTCCATCGACAGTAGATGATCTTTCTTCAGTGCCTGACCGACTCTTTTCCCCAACTTTCTGTAAAGCACTTAGACGTGCATCAACATAGTACGAAAATGTACAATAAATTTCACTAGGTAATCAACGTATCAACGTACATGGTTAATTGACTAATATTCTAAACTTAAGCATTATTGAACCCCACCCCCCAAATTAAAATAAAAAATCATGTATATAAAAATGCATAATTGTATATATACACTCTCTTTGTATCGGTTTTCTTTCTAAATAAAATATCATAAAATTACCGAAGCTAACTACTTTTTGTTATATAACCACTTCTCATCAAATTACCAATAAAATAAACTATTACACATAAAGAAGTAACACTAACACTTCTTTTATCCATGCATACACGCTTAAATCTTCAAGGCAATCCTTGAGAGCCGTGCAACCCAATTTCATTGTGCCTCTTCGAAGGACCCGATGGCGGTATGGGCATTCCCTTCGGCAAATACCCGAACAACATGTTCGGAGAATTTCGAGTTTTAGGTTTAGAGTGTAGAAATTGTGAACATCTTGCATCGGAAGTATGATCAGTCAAAAAAATGAATAAAAAGCATAGAAATATAGGTATAATAAGAGGTTTTTTGGCCATCCCAGAAGGCTAACAAGGTTATAGAGAGGAGAGAAAATTGATGACGACAATGTAGGAAGAAAGATTTAGAGAGATAAAAGGATAGGGTGCAAGGTTTGAAATTGGAGGTTATGTTTTGCTGTTGAAAAACTGTGTTATGGAATTAATTGGTGAAGGGTTTTGTTTGTTGAGGTTGTGTGAATATATGCAGGAGCAGACATATTAATTTGGGTAACTTGTGTCTAAAGTATATGTGGGGTGGGGGTGAGATGGAAGTGGAAACACTACTCATTAAATGCAGGATCTTGTATGTGTGTGTGTGTTTTTTTTTTTTTTTTTTTTTTTTTTAATTTGGGTTTCAAAAAATTTTTAAACACAAAGGCAAATAAGTGGAAGCTCCACAACTTATAAAATTAATAAATTAAAAATCGATTAAAATGGTACATGCAAGTCATATAAACTAGAAATCTTCTTACGGTAAAGACTAATTTTAAAACCGATCTAAGCCGCCAAAGATAAAATCAGAATTGTAAGTTAAAAAAAAAAACTCTCACATTTTAAAAGAAACTTTTTAGATGGAAATTATCCATAGAGATGAAAGGTGCAGTGAAATGAAAATAAATATACACAAACTCTGCCAACGTTGAATGTGTATACCAAAATTCACTTAGGGTGTGTTTGATTACATTTATTTTTCATGAAAAATATCAGTTTTTCATTTAAATTTTTACTTGGAGTGTTTGATTGCTATTTTTTTCCATGAAAAATATTTTCCAACTTTTGAAAATATGCCTAATTTTCCTTATTTTTAAGGAAAATATTTTCCTTTGGTACAGGTAGTTTTTATTTTCCACAAAAGATGGAAAACATTTTCTTTTTTAGATGATATTTTTTATGTCAATCAAACACACTCTTAATGTCATATGATATTCTATCTTTTGATAATTTAAAATATAGACATATTTTTCATCTTCTAACTCTTTTTCTTTTTTTTTTTCTTTCTTAATTATGTGCAAAACAGCAAAATACATTGTATAAGGACAAATGGCCATTGCAATCTGTGAAAATCAGTCAACCACGTTTTAAGCAAGAGAAAGAACACGTGTCAGAAATCAGAATTCGCACATATCCCAATTCTTAGATTGATATGTAAATCTATAATTCTTAACCATTTAACAGTTGGATAATACTAAATTACACTATGGTATCCTTATGTCCATAAATAAAAATAATTTTTTTCGACTTTCGAGATACTTTAGTAGCAGGATTCTCATGATCAACTCTTGCAAGGACAACACAGACACCCCATTCTCGTATCTCCAAGTCATGTTACTGTATCCTTGACCTCGCACTCTCGCCTAGGACTTTTCAAACCTATCTTTCTCCATTGCCGGTCCCTTTTGTCTTCTTTCCCTCATCTGGTTAATTGGTAGAAATATTCTGAGCCGTTTGAAAGTTGTTTTGAGAATTGATTTTTTAATCGTTAGGAGAAAAGTGAGATCCATCTGTTAAAGAAAAAGTTAAATATGACAGCTGAAATAGTGAAATAACTGTCAAAAAATCAATTTTTTTAAAAAAAATCACTCCCAAACAATCCCTATTTGTTAATAATTTTTACGAAGTGAAATACATAAGAATTGCCTAAAAGTTCAAAGTCGTGAATTCCCTATTTGAGTTACATTCTTTAAAAATATTTTTTTCAAACTTATTTTCAATTACACTTTCTTCAAAAGAAATAGTTTTACACATAAATCTAAAACTTTTCTTACTTATTTATACAAAATTCTTAAAAATGGGGCGGAAAAAGGGCTGAGTAACTTATAAATATGGGACAATGATGATGAAGAAGAATAAATTTTGTTTCCCCCTCCAATAATTGATAACAACCTTGACCGTCTGGTAGAGCAACTAGGGTAGGTAAGAACAGCAGTGTCAATCTCGATCATCGATCATATCTTTCACTCCACTATTAAGTCAATATAAATCGAAAACTCCTTTTCGACTTATGAGTACACCTTGGCCAAGGATTTCATCATTGACTTAATTGAATGAAACGCAGATCATAATCTCCTACTATCTAAGAGTGACGAATCCTTTATTGATCAATCACAACCTTCATACGATTCTTGACGTACCCGAACGATGTCGTATTAGCGGCCCTTTTCAGAGCAACATCCAACACCGCCAAAGTATGACTGTCCTCATATAAGGTACCATGACGACCTCAAGTCAAAGGACCAATTTCACTACCGAACGTTAGAGATTAACCACCGACACTCAGATAGTTATCCATGTGGAATCTCTCGACGGGTCTCCAATGTTTTGTTCTATAACAAACATCCACGTGTTCATTTAAGTGTCACCACACTTTAACTTGTGAGATCAGCTACTTACTTCACAAGTAAGAAATGCCACACGTGATGGTCTATCCGTAATAACGATATCCGTATCTCGTTATTACTTACGACCACGGATGATTTAAGATTCAATCAGATGTAATTTGTATCTCACAATCACAACTCCTTGTGATTAATAAATTACAAATATTTGAATCTACGGACTCTATTATTTATTTAATTGTCTATTAATTAAATAATAGATCTGCCATTTAATTACATTAATTATATATAAAAGTATTTATGTCCAAAGTCGATTGGACCTAGGGCATAATACTTACACAAACTAATGACATGCCAAAGTATCAACCAGATTCCCATGTCAGCTTATTTCGTCAATGAGAGAGTTGATATTCGCTAACCGAAAGTTAAGGTTCTATTTTTCCTTCTCAAAAGGATGAAATGAATCAAGAAGGGTAAGTTGCACGAGTTGGTGAAGATAATGTATAAAGTGGATTGTAGAGTTACAATTCTCTATAGGCAAAAAAGCGTGCAACTGTTGTTCTCTCCTGTGGCACATGGGAATTAAAGCAAAACCTGCTAATTTATGTATTGGTTCACCATGCAGGAAAGTAGGAGCAAACCTAAGATATTCTATGACTGTGGATTAACTAATTTAAAATTGAAATTTTCTTCCAGTAATCTGTGTGTTCTAGTAATTAATATATTTGTCTACTTTTGTCAAGAGGGTATAGGAGCAAGCCAATGAAAATTTTTACAATGTGTTGCCTGCAGGATCTATAAACATCTACATCGGACCAGTTTTTTTAATCCTTTCTGGACCTTGTTACATGTACATCAAGTTTTACATAATGTCACATGTCACTCTATCATTTATCAGTTTAAAACACAATCAACTTTTTTCATTCAATCTTTTCATTTCACATCATTTTATGTAATCTTTTATGTACAAATTTTATGTGCAAGCAATATAATCCTTTTTGTTTTAGTATCTCAGTCGCTTTCCAACTTATTCAAATTATTATTGTTGAGGAAAAGATGGATGTCATTAACATCTTAAAAATGTGCAGTACTCGTTTATATTGTGCGCCGCTATGAAGAATTGACAGGCTTACAATTTTTTTTTTCCTGTTGTATGTTAAATTAGATTACTTATTAATAAATAATTCTTCTGGCAATTTTATGGTCATATAAAATTTTCTACTTATTTGCTTGAGATATTGTACTAGAATTAAGCTGATTGCAGTGTCATGGGTGACATAATTGTATGCATATATTATCCTTCTTGATGAATAAACCTACTACTGTGAGGACTTGACGGTGTGTGCTTGTGCTTCAGTAGACTGCTATATATTATCTACCCTTCAGTTGCTAAAAAATTATATAGATCAGTTGGTTTATCAAGATTTGGGTTACAAGAACTTAATTAACAGGCACTTGTGTTTGTTTCTGATACTCTTTGGCTCATTTTTCCTTTAAACTTTTCAGACATAGGTTAAGGATCAATCTGAAGAGATGCAAAGACCTGGGCTATTGTGTCAAATCATGTATCTTATTTAGATATATTGTACCACTTTCCAAGCGTAGCTGCCAAGGTTAGGTAACTCTTTAACTTATCATGGCCTGCACATGCTGTTAAGACATCTATTCATAGTTGTCGTGATTCGACTTTCGACTGACACCTTTCTGCTCTAATTTTGGTGATCGTGCATCTGAATTGTGTTTCTGAAGAGATCAGTGGCAAAACTTCCTCACGTTGGTCTCATCAGGTTTGTTCACGGCACATTTATTTAAGAAATAGTATGCCATGGAACTTAGTAGATAGATAAATATTTTCATCTTCTATTCATTTTTATTGAAAATGGACTGGAAATTTCAAACTAGTTCTTTAGTTTTTTGCTTTTGAGTTCGAAACACAAATTGAATATAAAACAAATGACACACGATATTGTGTCTCAGACTGGTTTTTGGATCTAAATTATAGGTTTATATTTCATTGAAGATCAATATCCAGTATTTCTGTGTGCAGCCTTCTGTTCATGATTTTTTTATGCGAATGGCCTTTCTGTGAAGCACAAAAAGATCTAAATGAGGTGCCTTCTCTTAGTGCCAAACTACGTGCCAATGGCCCAACCAAGGTGTCCTATTGTGGTTTCTTGATTATCTTTTAGGTAGACTTTAAGTATTTACGGCAATACCATACATTATAGTTTTTAGGCTGTGGGTAATCGATTTGTGGTTATCCTTTTTGTTATGTAATGCATGATCATACTCTCCAGTTATTCGAACTATCAATTTATATAGGTAACTTTTTCCTTGTAAATCATTCATTTGGAAAAAAGGTGCACTCCTCTGTTAATATTTGTCTCATTACAGCAGGTGCCTTTGAGTCAAAATCGTCTGATTTTAAGGGAGTCTCAGGTATATATTTTCCTTTCCTTTTTTTATTCATTTATTTTTATTTTTTTGTAATCTTATTAGTCCAGAAATTAAAATTCAGCCAAAGAAGGATAATGTGGAAAATTTCCATGACAAAATAGGACTACTTACGCGGTACATTCTTTCAGGGACGACACAAATGAGGAAAGACATAATTTCAATTTTCAGGCGTGGCAATATTTAGAGTTATGTTGACGTCTTACAAAATAAATGATGCGTCTTGTACATGTTAATAGCAGAACCTATGAATGCCAAAACTTGTAGGTTGATTCAGAAGACATCCTAGCAGAAAAAGCGATAGACCATATATAGAGTTTTTCCTTCTATTGAAACCAACACTTGCTCCACTTATTCAGTTATGGTGTTACATTTCATTTGCATTCTAGCTCTATTCTCATCATTTTGGTGTCTGATTCTTGCAGGTGTTGTTGATGGAAAAAATACGCCCGAAGATGATGCTATTCCAGGTTATATTAGTGGTGCCATTACTAGGCACTGTGCTTGTGACTCATTCCCAAAATGTTGTGCATTATTCTCAAACTAGGCTCCTAGTTGTTCCTGAAATTTGTCCTGAAACTATATGATGCAGGAGTCTTAAAAGTAGGAAAATAACTAGCGGAAGCAACAGCTGCCACAATTGCTTAATTACTGTGAGTTTAGCCGAAATGTGTTATTTTCTGTTGCTTTTATGTGCAGGGTAATTTGATTCTTTCAGATATAGGCTTGGCTGAGCCCGAGAAACAGAGTATATCATGCTGCTCTTAATGGTAACAACAGCATGCCTACTGTTTTGCATCAGAAAGACGATTGATAATATTCATGGCCTCACTCTGAAAAGTTATATAGTCTTGGATCCTTGCTACTGTTAGTGTTGCTACTGATTATGGTGGTTTCCACCATACTTCTTTAACTTTCTTATGAATAAACGGGTGGCCATTAATTATAATATGATTTTCTTTGCAATTCTTTGTCATTCTCCACTTCTAGAGCTCTCTGAGTTACTCGATATAGAAATTATTGAATGCCCTTGAAGTCTAATATGACGGAGTATTGCAGAGATTTTGACCATATTAAGGAAGAAAAATGAGCTGAAAATTTGTTTTTACCCAGTTCTGTATGCCTAACATGCACCTAATGTAAAAACATGCTTGGTTAATCTGAATTATCCATTTGGTGGCATTCTTGAAGCCAATCTATCGAAGAAAATCGTGGACTCAGCAAATGTTGCTTCTGGTTGCAATTTGATGTAATATTTTTTGATGGGGATAAATTGGGGTCTATTAAACTTGTCGAAAATTCGTTATTTTTTCATTCTTGCCACGAAAATGAGAAATTACAGTTAGCATATGGCGTCATAACATGTCTCGAGTCATCTTTGAGTATTCCTCAGATCCCATATTCCCGGTGTTATTTTACAATTTTCGCTGCATTTGGATTTATATGAACATTTATATTGAAAAGGAATGTGATTGACAATTACAAATGAAAGGAGTTCCTTTTGTCTCCTACGAAATGAATTCACAGTTAAAAAGATGAATGAATCAGCAAGGTGGAAAAATAATACCTTTTTTCATACAATATTTCCCTCCTGAACCGTATCGTAGTTTTGAAAATTCACAAATTAGCCCAGAAAGGAGACATCCTCAGTCTTTTCTTTCCTTTGGTGAGCCATTTGTAGACCTTCTTAATTCCCACAATGGTAAGCAAACTTTAAATGGGGACGATGCCGACAAATGCCTCTGCATGGTTGAGATTGAGGACAGACAACACGAACTACCTCTTAGCTTCGTCATCTCATTGTCATCACATGCTTCAGATTTCGGATCACCTTGCACAGCAGTAACTTTAAGGGCTTCGGGTAAGACGCAGTTAAAGATTGAACCTAGGTTAAAAACATACAGTTAAGGGCTGAGTACTAGGTAGTCAGACGAAAAAATTTTACTTTAGGAAGTTCTAATAGGATTTTTTTTCAGTCTTCCCAACCAAAACAAGATTATGTTAGTGTTTTTTTAGTCAAATTCTGTTTTCTTTCCTCTTTCGCTCCTCGTGAAAAGTTATGTATTAAGCACTAATCCATTCTTTGGGTACTAACGATAAATCAAATGAAAAAATTAGGAACAAAGCAAACACACGAGTTTATAGTCGTCCATCCTCCATCTTAGAACTACGTTGACTTTCCATTGCAAGTTAACAATATAATGTAGAAGAGCACAAGTTTCCTCACTCTCACACTCCAAATAGGAATATTAGGTCGATCCATGGCCAAGGAGTAAGTTAAAAGTAGAAATGAAACACCTATGCTACAAAATAGGACTCATATTATAGGGTGATAACACTGATGTATATTGTAATAATCAGCAGCATAGAATATTACTTGAATGTAAATAAAGGTAAAACTTGATGCAAGAACGAGGAAAAATACCTAATTTTGCAAGTCGATTTACCCACTTTGGAATTTTTTTCCCTGTAAGCTTGTGACATATGTCTTTGCAGAAATGATTGCAATTCTTTGCAATCAAGTGATATGTATCACCATTATAGTTTGCAGCTTGACATTCAATCAACTCCCGAACCTGGGTCGCGTCCAAAGATGTAGTCCCGATGAATATTGACTTCCTAAACCTAAAACCCGGGCATTCTCGAGGTTCAACTTCAAAGACACCACTTGAAGGATAGTCATGAGCTCCAAATGCATACTCCACACCATGAACTGCAAATGAGCACGCACTCTTAATCAGAAAAAAAAAAGTTATTTCTCTTCTATTTATATATGCCAACTCATAAAAAAACTTGAATAAAGAGGCACACAGGTTAGCTAAACAATTCGAGTTACCATATTAGATAAAATCCACATACAAATATAGCAATAAATGTCATGAAGTCATCTTTTTTACTTTTACTTTTTATTACTATTACTTTTTATGTTTCACTTGCCTGAAAATAATCATCTTTATATTTGTTTTTTGTCAATGTTCTAAAAATATGTTAGCCATGTCTGTAAAAATAGACGCCCGCTGCATGTACTATACCCGCTTACAACTCTCATTGCATATGCTATATCAGGTTGTTCCACGTCCAAGAAATTAAGAATACAGTATTTAAGAAGTTACATAAGCAGAGAAAAAGCTTTACATCATTGTCTTGAACTCACAAGAATTGAATACATTGATAACGAAATAAGAAAATCAATGGGACGAAGAATACAACATAAGCAGTCAAACGTACCTTCCACAGCAGAATGAAATATACCTAGGCCAGCCCAGTAGACATAACCATTCGCAGGTGTCAAGTCATACACATTGAGATAAACCGAAGTATTTCCAGGACTATGATCAGTCGGCTTCACTTTGGAAAATAAACAAAAACGAGGGACTGATTTTCCTCTCAAATACTGGGGAACTATGGACTTCCATTGCTTCTTTGATCCTAATGTCATATTGCTTCTATAGGTAACCAGATATCACTCCAGAACTGATAGCATCTAATACATCTGGACAATATATTTGAAGCTGAGGCTAGGAAGTAAACAATAGAGGAACACCAAGAACAAATTAAACTAAAAAAAACCATGTCAACTGAAACAATTAGTTGATTTTTCATTGTTGCAAATAACTAAAGTTTTTCGCACAAGGAAGTCACTTCGGTGACCTTAAAACTCAATAATTGGTGATATTGACAAATGTAGTATAAAATCTGTTCATGTGACAGAAATACAAAATGTGTATGGATCAAACCTTTGATTATTCTCAATGATATTACTCAGATGACCTACGGGATTCAGAGCAAGATGAAGGGTTGGTATGTTTGAATTTTGATTAAGAAAAAACTTCTTCCCAAGAAAAAAAAAATGAAAGAATAGAAAATTTAGGGGGAAAAGAAAAAAATGGAACCAGCAACATGTTTTTTCAACTTGTGAAAGTCAACATTGACAGGAGTGGGAGGCCACTAATATAGCCACTCATATTATTATTAATTATATCAATCCTGCATCTTGCACAGTTGCTTCTCAATCTGTCCGTGACTAAAAATACAGAATTAACAGCGTGTTCAGCTAAGCTTAAAAACTTTGCGTGTAAGTAATTTAGTATGTTCTAAAATAATACCAGTAAGGCAATACTTACTTTCGGAATAACATTTTTTTGCTTAGAGTTCAGATAAGTAGTAGTAACAAACATGTTTTAAGAACAAAAGTTTCTTCAAAGTATCTTTTACTAATTATTACACCTAGCCAAACATGCTTGCAAAGTTTAAATACTTGTCTGAGACGCAATAACTCATATTAGAATAGCTCATCCATTCAAGTTTTATCCTAATGCTCTGGGAACAGTACAGCATCTCTTAATTTGCAAGTCAAATCATCACAGCCAAAAACTATGTAATACACCCATTTGCTTTAACATAAGCTTAAATTACTTCAAACACTTCAACTGATTCAGCTTTCAGGCAAATAATTCTTGGGATGTTCCATCATTACTGCAAAAATACCTAACATATATTCTCCCGAGGCTTAGGCGGTTACCATTTAATTGTATTGACTCAGCATGTTTCATGTGCATAAATTTATACTCTAATAAAATGCAATCATGCTTACTGGTAATCTTAAGAAATTTAATTCATACTTGTCAACTGATACCTAACCTCTCTCAAAGATGGAAAAACACGCATGAGCACACGCAAAGACAGCCTTTCAAAAACTTAATTTGCTACGATATTATCTGGTCAACGATGAATAGGAAATGGCAAACCCAATATCAAAGAGGAATTAAATAAAAAAATAACAAACTTCCTGATTTCTTAATGAAGCAATGTTCTTCTGCATACTTGAAATAAGAACCGAAGGGGGTCAAAAAGCCAGTGCGTGCACGTACAAGGAAAATTTAAATCTAAAGTCAAAATCGGAAATTGGGAACAACATATGATGTCGGAAGAACTATAAACGGGAACATTTCAAAATAATTTTTGCAATTCAAATACTTCAACTTCGATGTACATAATTCAACAATAGAATGTCAACCTTGAAAACAAAAAAAAAGAAGAAGAAGAAGAAGAAGAAGAAGAAGAAGAAGAAGAAGAAGAAGAAAAGAAAAGAAAAAAGAAACAGAGCCACTACGGCTCTAATTTTGAATTTTCTGCCATGCCTTACATAATAATTGGAGAACGAGTTCGATAATTAATATTTCAAGTTGTAAACACACCAGTGCAGGCATCTTAAAACTGGAACGAGAAACCCAGAAAATTTCACTACTTTCAACACAATGACGAGCAAGATAAAGAGTTTAAGCACAAAAAACAATCATATTGCAGATGAGCAAAGCAAAATCCATTTTTTTATCAGTGAAAAACATACTAACAAGAACCAAGCAAGGACGAGGAATTTTCAAATATTAATGTATAGTTAAAAACAAGCATTGTCATCTCCATCGAAATGGTAAACTGCAGGGACTCGAAACAATGAAGTAATTTCTCCAATTTTGACCAACGCCTATCTATATAATTTCAAAACCCCGTTCAAATTCAAAAGATATTATGCGATAAATTAACAGGTACATTTCACCCTGAAAGAAGCATAAATCAGTATATTTACGAGTTAATAACCCACATATTCAAAACATTTTGTCAGTAATAAGAGAAAATAACCATATACCACAATCAAATCAAAGCATTAACAGCTAAAGGAACAAGTTAAAGTAATTAAGAAAATGATAAACTAACAGATCGGCCCACGACAAAATTGAATAAAATTATAAATTGTTTATCCAGAAAAAGAAACAAGTTTTTCAGTTAAACCCAGAATTCAAACTTATGAAAAGAATTATAAGAAGCTTGTTGCAGAGTAACTTACAGTTGACATTGGCACCTGCATAATTCAATGGTTTTTTTCCTGAAAAATCTCAGTTAATGGACACTGCAAAGATTTCTGAAAAAATAAAAATAAAAATCTGTTTTTGAGAAAACAATTCAACAAATTATTGTACAAGAAGTTGTCTCGTACTGAAAGATAAAGAAAATGTAATTGAAGAGAGACCCAAGGTTTTGGAAGTTGAGAGGCTGACACGACACACAACAAACAACTATCTTTCTATACATTTCTTTTGTTTTCCTTTCTTAGAAATAAAGTCATTCATTTCGTGTTTTGTTAATTTATTGTCTCTGTAAATATTTTTTTATGAGTAACGATATTTATCTAAACAATTTTTTTTGTCAGTAGTCTGACTGCCGTTAAATCATAAATGATTGAACGTCTTATCTTTGAGAGGTTATCAAGTATTAACTATCCATAATAATCGAGTTAATTGTTTGAATACTCACTGAACTTTAAAGGACGTCACGTTTTACTCACTGAACTTTACTTTACAACCAATTACTAACTGAATTTTGGAAGGACGTCACGTTTCACTCACTGAACTTTACTTTGCACCCAATTACTCACTGAACTTTGTAAACTTACACTCCACTCATCGTTACTCACTGAACTTTGTAAACTTGCACTCCATCACTCATCGGATTAAAGAGTTAATTGTTTGAATACTTACCGAACTTTACAAGACGTCACATTTCACCCACTCAACTTTATTTTGCATCCAATTACTCACTGAACTTTGTAAATTTGCACTTCATCACTCACCAGGAACCGTTTGTTCTGTTTGCCTATGTGGATGACGGCTCACTGAATTTTGGAAGGGCGTCACGTTTCACTCACTGAACTTTACTTTGCACCCAATTACTCACTGAACTTTGTAAACTTACACTCCACTCATCGTTACTCACTGAACTTTGTAAACTTGCACTCCATTACTCATCGGATTAAAGAGTTAATTGTTTGAATACTTACCGAACTTTACAAGACGTCACATTTCACCCACTCAACTTTATTTTGCATCCAATTACTCACTGAACTTTGTAAATTTGCACTTCATCACTCACCAGAAACCGTTTGTTCTGTTTGCCTATGTGGATGACGGCTTTAATACGTGGCAATTAAATTAAACAAACATAACAATGAATTGCCAAATCATATATCCAAAAGGACCCAAACATGCCTCACCGTTTTCAACACATAAATCGCAATTGGAACCCTAATCTCTTAAAATAGGCCGCTTCGGAAGTGAATTTTAGTATATCGCGATTGTTGTTTCTTCTTTTTCGCCTTTACTGGGCATGGCATTTTTGAGTGAAAATGGTGAGGCATGTTTGGGTCCTTTTGGATATATAATTTGGCAATTCATTGTTATGTTTGTCTAATTTAACTGCCACGTGTTAAAGCCGTCATCCTCATAGGCAAACAGAACAAACGGTTCCTGATGAGTGATGAAGTGCAAATTTACAAAGTTCAGTGAGTAATTGGGTGTGAAGTAAAGTTGAGTGGGTGATGTGACGTCTTGTAAAGTTCGACAAGTATTCAAACAATTAACTCTTTAACCCGATGAGTGATGGAGTGCAAGTTTACAAAGTTCAGTGAGTAATTGGGTGCAAAGTAAAGTTCAGTGAGTGAAACGTGACGCCCTTTAAAGTTCAGTGAGTATTCAAACAATTAACTCCATAATAATCTATACATATAACATTATTCTTTTTATATTTAATAAATTCACGAGAACTTTTTAATTTTTACCGTTTTTACGTGTTTATAAATAAAATTGTTCATAAACGTATGCTTAATTTTGATTATAAATGAGATCATTCCTCAACTTTAGAAGTACAATTGTGATTGAGGAAGATTTAACCAACAAATTTCTTTTATATTTAATAATATTTAATTGTATTCGGTTGATCACATAAATTATAGTCATGCAACTCAAACAAGGAAATTTGACAGAAAATGATGACAAGACAATAATTAAAATTTATCCCCATTTGGTCCCATTAAATTTCATTTCATTTTTCTCTCTCCTATTTTTCAATCACACAATCTTCCATAAAATAATATTACACGCATATCGAAAAGTTTTCATTCTTTTTCAACCACTCATTTTTCAAAAAAATACTATTCCATCCATATTAATTTCAAGAATTGGGAACCAAACGGGGATTATTCATTCGAAGATGATTTTTTTTTTTTGTTAAAGGCGAATCACAATGCAATATGTCAACTCTATCAATGTTTCCTATCAAATTTCCCAGTTTGAGTATATCAATTCGATAAATTCTGATAACTATAAGTTGTGTTTGAACTTTAAAGGGACCTCATCCATAGGTTTTTAGACAATCACCACCCACGATCATGTCTCACGAGTTTCATTAAATCAACATTATCGTTAGTCTCTGTAGAATCATGGGCAGATGCAGGGACGGGTTGGGCCGTGCTACAGCCCGTCCCTTCAATCCAAATGTCCATTAAAAAAAAAATTTAAGTAAAATATTTTTTTATGTGCAATATATATATTTTTTATACGTATTAGTCCATGTTGAATTTTTTTCTAAATCCGCCACTGCATAGAATTATAAAGTTATTTACTTTTTTTAAGTTTGAAGACCATTTACGAGCATGTCTACTTGTTAATAGAACAGATGAACAAGAATAATTCATATATTTGATTTTAAATTAATTTACAAAAAATAATTAAATTAGTAGTTGTTGTGCATTTATACAAAGAATTTACAAAACACATAATTTGTACAGATTTATAATTTCTAACTATTTCTTTCATTCTCCAAAAGTTCAATTACTGTTTTATTTTATTTTATTATTATTTTTCTTTCTTAATTGTATATCCTCTGTAAATTTACATTCAATGGAATCTTTTCACTACCACTTTTACATATTTTTCTCCTTTTTTCATTTTTTTACACAAAATTGCATATTTTATTAATTATATTTTTATATTCTTCTCGTAGAAAAGAAAAAATCGCAATAAATACTAATAAAATTATGCTTACATGCATTCTTAATAATGTTTTCAATTACAAAATTATCACAATCATGAATTAATAAAAATATAATTTTTAACTACAAATTACAACTAATATAAAAAAAATATATATCTTAATGAATTGTTTTTAATTTTTGTTCATTGAACAAAGTCATTAATTAGAGGAGAGCAATTAAGAATTTGACGTTACATAAAAAGATACGATGTGATTTGTTATTTCAATCATATTATTCAACTATTTATAATGGCCTGTTTATAAATTTCCAACAAGGAGTAATTTTTATAATCATTATGTAAAATGTAGTACGTAAAATACATATTTATAAATTCGGTATCCATAATGTAATTACACCTCATATATAGGATGTATTTTAAGAATTTTCATTTATATAATTGTTGAACAAGTAACCATTAAAAAAAAAAAAGAAAAAAAAGGAACATATAAATAAATTTCATGATTTTTAAAAATTAATTGAATTAATTTTAAATAAGAATATTGAGTATGGTAAAGTCTCGTCTTATAAACTAATCATGTTCAAAGTAAAGAAATCGACATATAATGTTGTATTTTGACATATTCTTACTTATAATTCGGTTTGCCTCGCAAAAAGTCGAAGTATCAATAAGTCAAATTATACTAAATGTATCTTTAATTGTACTTAAAAAAAATTAAACTTAATTTTAAATTACTTATTTTGTCTTATAATTTTTAAAAATTACTTTTTAGGTTAAGAGAATTAAGCTATTTGTACTTGTTGGCTTACACTTTGATTTACCCGACCACACTCCTCCTCTCACATGGAGTTAGGTCCCAACGGGGGCCACGACGTGGGGGCCTGACTCCCATGTGAGAGGAGGAGGTGGGGTCAAGTAATCCAAAGTGACATATACAAATAGCATGACCCATAGAAAATGTAGTCTCTGTGATCAGTTTTCCATTTTATGCATGGCTCTCTCTCTCTCTCTCTCTCTCTCTCTCTCCACAGACGCACAAACCAGAAATGCATGCAAAGCAGATCAAAATACAATGAGCAGCTGTGCAGAAATGAATCTGCACGGAAGAGATTAGCAGCTTTCCTGAAAAATGAAACAGGTAGCAGATATAATGACAGGAAAACTATTCTACATACAAGAAGAAGACAATGCCACAGTAGCAGATCTCGAGAGAGAGAGAGAGAGAGGAATTCAAGAAGTCATTCTGATGCTTGACGATAATCCTAAATGCCTCATGGATAAAAATGACGTCTCTCTCACTGTGTATGGAGTCCAAGATGGATCCCATATCTATATTTTCTTTGATCCTCTTGATGATGATTCCAATAACATTTTCTCAAATCAAGATCCTGTTCCAGAAGCAAAATGAATGAATGAAAATCAATACGGGTTATAAAAGTCCAATGGAATTCATCAATTATATATACGAGGTATCAACATTGGTAAGACTTCAATTGTACAAATCTAGACATGCTTATATATAGCAGCGTACATATGCTTAGAACATGACTGAACAATTCAATGAATGATATGTTCTAATATTGTACTATCCATCCAGATTACCATACTAAATTTTAGTAAGATAATGCTGACTGAGTTCTTCTATTATTCAAGACAAATGAAGTACGATTATACATTTGCGCATATGTTTGTAATGCAGTACTAGACAACATTATACAAGACAATAGACAAAATTCAACTATTCTTTTCTTTCTTAATCATGTACGATGATGTTCAATCCACCATTCAAACTAGGATACTATAGTCTTTTAGCTAACAAATATGTCTCAACTTCAATCAGTACTCTTGTACGAGTGATTATATGGATAACTACAAGCATTTGGACTTCATTAGTACAAATAAGAGTTAATTAAGATTGAAGCATAGACCTCGAGATTCCTGGCAAATGTAATTAATCATAGGAAGGATAACATTATTCTTCAGTTCATTGCTAGATTTAGTGATCTTGTGTCTTAACGAATTCAATTCTCTCTTCCAGTGTGAAATGAACATCAGAGTCGTTCCGCTACCCGACGGATATGTAAGACCAAAGTAATTCCCTACCTCCTCCAATACAGTGCTAAGCAGAAAACGAAACTTCATTGTGCACACAGAAAAATAATTGCAATAAAGAAGAAGCAAACAAGACTTGCAATAATAAATGAGAAAAGCCAACACTAACATTTGAGTGTGCATGCATGAGACAATGTATGCGCGCGCACAAAGCTCAGGCATGCACATTAATGGGTTGTCTTTGTTGTTTAGATCCTTTCTTAAGAAAGCCTATGCATAAAAACATGTTAATTAGTAATTGCACCCAATGATGACCGGAACACAACCATTCAACTAAGAAATCAATACAAACTAACAATTATTCAACGAACAAGTGCAACATGAATGAGAAGAAACTTTGCTGATGAATTAATATTGTAAACCCAGTATTTATTACTGTAATAAGTACAGAAAACTATGCAAAAAAGTTCTAAAAGATACAAGACAAAAAGTGGATTACCTCTCCATTTGACCAAGTGATTCTGTGTACAGCTGTTCTAATTTGTTAGTAAAAGCAAGGTAACTCTAAACTCGTATGTACAACAAAACTACACACACATGATGTGGTGAGATATGATTAAACCAAAATTTCTTCAACCAAATTAAAAGAGAGAGAGAGAGAGAGAGAGAGAGAACTTTCACTCTCTCTTTTCCACACCTCATCTATATATAAACTATTATATAACTCCTTATGTACAAGTAGAATTATTCTTCACGGTCAACAAGAAATAACCTTGTGCTAAGGTGTGCATACAAAATGCCAGCATTTTCCAACAAAAAGCAATCTGATTTTGTTGGAAAATGATAAAATTGTTAAAACTTCAATGGATTTGATAATCCCTTGCCATAGTTATAGCATGTGTTCAACAATAACAAAAAAACATACCTCCAATAGCTTGTGATTGACTTTCCATGTATTCTTTAGGCTGCAAAATGAAGAAATTTGCTATGGAGAAAACTACTCTCTACTCCCCTTCAAACCCTAGAAACCAATCATTCTACTTGCCTTAAGATGGAGAGGAGAAAGGGCCAAAAAATATATATATAGAACTCAATGGGCCAATCCTATATTAAGTGGAGTGAGAGTGTTAATAAAAAGGGAGCCCATCCCATTATGGGCTCAAACAATGATTAAAGTGGTAATTACAGAGATCGCTTGTATTAAAATCCTAAATTCTAAAACCAGATTTGTAGTTTAATCTTTTAAAGATCAGAACTTTTTGTTAATTAATAAATTCATATAAAAATTAATTAATTCAACCTATTAATATTTCAAACCCTATAATTCCTTTCCAATATTCTCTCACAGTCTCACACAACCGGAGCAATGGGAAACTGCTCTCCAATCTCTCAGCGAATGCCGACGACTCATTGAAAAACTCCGGCGATTGACGATGGGTCAGCTTTCTCCGACCGACGTTGCTGGCATTGGAGGTTGCTAAGAGCTCGTCACAGCGAAAGGTATAGTCTGACCGTGAATGACGAGATCTGGTGGCGAGTTGCAGCAGCAGCGATGTGTCACCCCCGCCTTGTGCCACCACCATCGCTCCACATCGCTGTCGCGATGGCTCGATTTGTGGCGGTGGTGCGACCTCTGTGGCAATGGCTCAATCTGTGGCGGTGGTGCAATCTGTTGTCCCTCCATTGGTGCGATCTGGTGGCGTTGGCGTGATGGGGATGGTGGTGGATTTGGTGGCTACGGGAGGTGAGATGGTGGCAGGTTTTGGGGGTTTTTTGTTGGGTGGTGGTTGTGGTGTGATGGGCCTGAGCACGCTGGCTTGGTTGAAATGATGGAGATGGATCTGTTGTGGAGTCTGTGAGTCGTTGCGGAATCAATGAATCGTGGTGTTGGTGTGTGACGGGCGACGGGGATGGCGATGAAAATTGTGACTTTGATTGTTACTCACAATTTGTTTATTGGATAATTTGTGACCAGTGTCGTGGTAGTCGCGGTGGTGGTAGTGCTGTTGGAAGTGGTGGTCACAGGTTATGTGATCGATTGTGACGAGTGAATTGGTTAATCTGTAATCAATAAACAAAATAAATAATACGTGATCAATAAAAAAGATAAATCGTGACTAAGAAATAATGTGTGATCTAAAAAATTAATAAATTATGATTGTTGTGACTTATAATATTAGTGATCTGTGACTTATAAACAAATTGTGACGTGTAAATTTTTTATCTATGACCGATGAATAAATTGTGATCGGTAAAATTTTTTGAACTATGACCTTAAAATAATCTGTGAAGTTAAAAAATTCTAATTCGTGACCCAAAAACAAAAATTTGTTACCCAATTCGTGACCACAATTTGTCTAATTAATAAAATATATAAATAATTAAGTAAATTATTATTAAATTTTAATAAATTTCTGATTTTTGAAAGTTGAAACCTCTTTTCTTACTTTTGAAATATGCCATACTTATCCTCTTAATTATGAAATTTTCCCATGATTAAATGAAATCCTAGTCCATAAAATAAATATAACAATCTCCCACTTGGATAACATTTCATTTAATCACTACATAAACACAAGCAACCATTTCAAAACCAAAAGGCCTTGTTCAAAATGTGCCTTCAAGTTCAAAACAGTGAATGATATACCGATAGGGTATACAACACAAGACCAATACTTGAAATCACGTAATATAGCCCAATGATCTGTAAAAGCAGTATGGAAAATATCAAAAGAGTGATAAACACCTGTTTCCATGAGAAACCCTAGAGACAAATTTGAATGTCTCTTATAGATAATACGCCTTATCCATAATGCGCCTGGCTAAAGCACAAGAGTAACCAAAATGTCTCAATACATATAGTTATTGCCTTGTCCAAAAATACGCGTGACTCAGGCATGAGATTGGTCAAAATATCTCATTATATATATAAACATTGCCTTGTCCAAAATCCGCGCGACTCAGGCACGAGACTGATCAAAATGTCTCAATACATAAAGTACACCTTGTCCAAAATGTGCATGACTCAGGCATTCAATGACATTACTATATTTCAAGAACAAAATAGAATATCAGCATAAATAATATGGTAAAATAGCAATGATTACACAACTCCCACTAATCAAATACAACATAAGACTCTAACAATCCCAAATGAGCCACATGCTCTTAAAACAATTTTGGAGCTAAACTTTTAATTAGTGGGTCAGCTAACATATGATCCATTGAAATATGCTCAATGCAAATATAAGACTTAGTTATTTTCTCTCTTACAAATAAATACTTAATATTAATATGCTTAGAGAGTGAAGAACTTCTAGTATTTTGAGAGAAAGCAACTGCTGCAGTATTGTCATAAAATATCTTCAGTGGCCTGAAAATGGTGTTCACTATACCTAGCCTTGAGATAAAGTTCCAGAACCATATAACCCGCCATGTAGCCTCATAACAAGCCACGTACTCTACCTCCATTGTGGAGGAAGCAATAAGTGTCTGTTTTACACTTTTCCAATAAAGAGCTCCCCCAACCATCAAAAAAACATAACCAGAAGTAGACATTCTATCATCTAAACAACCTGCAAAATCGGCATCAGAATATCCAACTACATCAAGAATGTCAGATTGTCGATATGTAAGCATTAGATATTTAGTGCCTTACAAGTACCTAAGTACTTTCTTTGCAACTTTTCACTGAGCCAAACCAGGATCACTCAAGTATCTCCCAAGTACACTGACAACATATGCAATGTCAGGCCGTGTACATACTTGAGCATACATTAAACTACCCACAACTGAAGAATAGGGAATCGTTTACATTTGAGTCCTCTCATTATCATTCTTAGGGCATTGAGACTTAGAAAATTTATCACCTTTCACAATAGATGCTTTTCCAAGAGAACGAGAAAGTATTTTAAACCTACTCAAAACTCGATTAATGTAGGTTTTCTGAGATAATCCATGAACGCCTCTAGACCTATTACGAAAAATTTGAATCCCCAAAACATAAGAGGCTTTACCAAGATCCTTCGTATCAAAATGAGATAACAGCATGCGCTTTGTCTTAAGTAAAAGCATAATATCATTTGCAGCGAGTAATATATCATCAACCTAAAGAACAAGAAAAACATACTTATTCCCAGTGACCCTTAAGTATATGCATTAATCAACAACATTTTCCTTGAAACTGAAAGAAGTGATAATCTCATCTAATTTTAGGTACCACTCTCTCGATGCTTGCTTAAGTTCATAAATAGGCTTCTTAAGTTCACACCATGTGTTCCTTTCCATCTACTTGGAAACCATCTGGTTGCATCATGTACACATCCTCAAATAAATGTCCATTAAGAAAAGCAGTCTTCACATCCATATGATGCAACTCAAGATCAAAATGAGCCACCAATGCCATAATAATTCGAAAAGAATCCTTGGTAGAAACAGGCGAAAATGTATCTTTATAATTAATGTCTTCTCTTTGATTAAAGCCTTTCGCAACATGTCTAGTTTTATACTGCCTGACCTTGAGAATTATACTTGGTCTTGAAAATCCATTTACGGCTATTGGCCTACAGCCAGAAGGTAGTTCAACTAAGTCCCATACTCTGTTTCGACACATCGATGCCATCTCATCATGCATAGCATCCATCCAAAATGAATATTTAGGACTATCAATGGCCTCCTTGAAAGAGGTCGGATCAAGAGACGTACCAACATCAAACTCATGCTCCTGCAAATAGACAATATAGTCATCAAAAATTGTTGGTTTGCGAATTCTCCGTGACCTCCTCAAAACAATATCATTAGTCCCCATATCAACATCAACCCCAATGTCAACAACGGGTTCTTAGACAATAGTATTGGTTCCCTCTGTCAATGGTGGCACAACCACCGATGGACGAGTAACCTGAACAGGTATAATAACACGCTCCTCCCTAAATACAACTTCACGTGGTGCGGAGCTCCCACTGTCACTAACGTCCTCAAAGAAAATAGCTTGATCAGATTCAATGATTCTAATAATTAGAAGGGCAATAAAACCTATATCATCTTGATCCCACACAATACCCAACAAAATATCCAATGATGGTCTTAGGATCAAGTTTCTTCTGTTAAGGATTATAAGGCTTTATTTCTGCTTTACAACCCCAAACACAAAAATGACGCAAACTAGCCTTTTACCTGACCATAATTCGTAAGGAGTTTTGGGAACCGACTTGCTTGGTACTTAATTCAAAATGTAGGCAACAGTTTTTAAAGCCTCACCCCATAAAAAATCAGGAAAGTGGAATGACTAAGCATACACCGCACCATGTCCATGAGAGTACGATTTCTTCTTTCTGCAATGTCATTCTGTTCAGGGGTCCTAGGCACCGCACCATGTCGATGAGAGTACGATTTCTTCTTTCTGCAATGTCATTCTGTTCAGGGGTCCTAGGCATTGTGTACTACGCCTCAATACCACATGCCTCGAGAAAACTAGCAAAAGATTCAGGATTTCTACCAATTTCATCATATCTCCCATAATACTCACATCTTCTATCCAATCTTACTGCTTTGATTTTCATTTTTTTTTGGAGTTCCACGACAGCCTTGAAAGCCTTAAAGGCTTCCAATGAATCTGATTTTTCTCAAATGAGCTCTATGTAACCGTAGCAAGAATAATCATCAATAAAGGTAATGAAGTATTTATAATTTCCCAAAGCGGCGGGTGAAATGGGACCACAAACATCAGTATGAATTAAATCTAGGATTTCCACACTTCAGCTAATCTTTTGTTTTCTGGTTTTCGCTGGAAACTTCCCTTTGATACAAGCAACACAAGTTTCAAAATCAGAGAATAGGTCAACGAGTATACCTTCTTTAATCAACCTTTTCATTCTTTCTTTAGAAATATGACCCAACCTTTTATGCCACAACATGAAAGAGTTTTCATTGGATCTAGTACGTTTAGAACCAACTCCAGCATTCGCAATAGATATACTAGAAGGAGTAGAATCTAAAGCAGGAAACAAGTTAATTCTACACAAACCATCATATAATGTAGCAGTACCAACCACAACAGAATTATAATAAATTGTAGCAATTCCATTTCCAAAATGAAAAACATATCCACATTTACCCAAAATAGAAATAGAGATAAGATTTCTTCTGATAGAAGGTATAAAAGCAATATCAGACAAGTTCAAAACATGCTTAGAAGCCAAAATAAGTTTGACTGTTCCAATATGTTCAACTTTAACCTTCACCCCATTGCCCATGTTTACCACTGCCTCTGTCTCAATTGGTCTTTTGTGGTTTCTTAATTCCGACAAAGAATTTGTAGTGTGAATGATTGCACCAGTGTCTAGCCACCAAGCATCAGAAGGCACATCGACTAGATTAGATTCAAAATACACTAATAGCGAACGTGTACCTTTCTTATCTAACCAAGCCTTAAACTTCTTACAATCAACCTTCTTGTGTCCAAAAATATGACAGAAGTTACATTTACCCTTGAAACCTTCCTTCTTAGGCCCATTTGGAACACTCACGATAGCTTGCTGATGGGGTCTCCCAGATTTCCTCATCTTACTGAAATTGCTACTATTACCTTTGAATACTTTTTCCTTCCCTTTATCAGCAGTTATCATAAAAGCAACATGAGACTTTGCCTTTCTCATCATCTCTTCTTCTTAAGTTACAATAGCAGTCATTTCACTCAAGTCCCATTCTTCTTTCTGAGTATTATAAGTAGTCTTGAGTACATCAAACTGAGATGGCAAGGATTCAAGTACTTGCCATACAAGAAAGCTGTCTGATAACTCGACTTTCATTCTTTTCAGCTTGTTAAAGAAATGAATAAGCTTCATAATGTGCTCTTTAACTCCACTAACACCATCATAGGTTGTGGTAGTAAGAA